AGAAACATCACACACCCTTCCCATCAAAAACACCAACACCTTCCACCCCACCATGTGATTCATAATCAGCAGCCATCCAGATATTATGGATGCTATGGAACTAATATCAATTCAACCAGGCACAATAGCCCATACCCGCATCCATGGATGGAAACACAGACTCAGGGGAACAATAATCACAACTGTAGATGATAAGAACATTCAGAATCAACAGCACATCATTGACGCCATCCAACATGCTAAGTCAAAACACAGATCCACAGTTAAATTCATATTTGTCTCACTCACTGGTTTTGCCCTCAGTGGAGAAGGCATTCCTACACTGCAAGCTGACCAATTGAATGTCATTGCACACCACTTGCACTCTCTTCATTTTGGACAAGACCTATGGACCAACAAAGAAGACTGGCCAAAGCCAATTGACTCMCCTGAATCAGTTTCCAGACAGATTCAAATATCCAAACTCACTCAAAGAAAACTAATCCAAACACCTCAATGGGATKGATTCCTACAATCTGAATGGAAACAACTCAACAGATACCACAAAGTAGGCATGTTTGGTGAACCAGTTGACACTACATCAAATATGACTGTTCTTCCATGGGTATGGGCATACATTGAAAAAGAAAATCCACTAACAGGGATTGAACAACCTAAATCAAGAGGAACATGCAATGGTGGTAAAAGATATGGAAAAGCAGTCACATTGGCAGAAACATATGTAGCCTGTGTAGAACAGCCATTTGACCGACTGACCTGGGCCCTATCTGCAGCCCTCAACCTCATCTGTGTAGGATATGATGTAGGCAATGTGTTTGCTGAAGACCAGCCCCAATATCTCCCTTCTATATGAAGGTAGATGAGCCCTTTCATCAATGGTGGACTGACTGCCTCCATAGAATGCCCATTCCACCATGGTATGTCATCCCTATCCAGAAGGCCCTCCAAGGACACCTGGAAGCACCGCATATATGGGATAACTRTATATCTAACATCCTCATCAAGGATCTTGGATTCAAACCAACCACACATGAACCATGTCTCTACTATAAGCATAATAATACAGGTCTCACCCTCATCCTTTGGCAAGTGGATGGCTTTCTAATTGCCAACAAGGATAAAACAGTCTGTGACAACATAAAACACCTCATTCAAAACAGAATGACTAATCCCCTCAACATACTTGGAACCATCTGCAAATTCAATGGCATCCATGTAAACCAAACCAAACACTATAACCCCCTTCACTGCTGTATGCAAATTGAAAAAATATCAGCACAACATGGATGGAATTTAACAACCCAACAAACACGGAAAAGACCAACCCCAATGAACAAAATTGCAGCATATCAAAGGAAAATACAGCTTTTAGGAGGCCCAACAGACCCCATTTAAGCCATCAAACTCCAGCAGACCACAGGTATCAACTATCGGCAGTGTATACGGTAGGGAAATTAATCTATGCTCTTGCAATATGCCGAATCAATATTTCCATCACAGTCATTAAACTTAGCCAGAACTTACACTGTGAAGCAGTTAAACAAGTCTTCTTATACCTACTGGCTACAAAGGAAGAGGGTCTCACATACTGGCGCCCTTAGCCACATATGGACCTACCAGATGTCCCATTCCCCACCCCTTACACTGATCCCAATATACTCACCAAATTTGACCAGTCAATGGACCCATTACAAATCCATGGATCCTGTTACACCACATGGTGGGCTTCAGATAGGATCCGAAGAAGGAGCATGGGAGGAGTAATCATTATGCTTGCTGGAGCAGCAGTTCACTACAGAACACATTTACAACCAACCATAGCTCAAAGTTCCACAGAAGTAGAATTCACCAACATGACTGATGCAGGAAAAGCTGCTTTATATTTAAGATGGATCATGGAAGAACTCCAAATCTACCAAACTAAGCCAACCCCCATCATAGCTGACAATCATGATGCCGTTTGAATGGCAAATGCACATCAACCTACAAGAAGAACGCACCATGTGGAAATGAAACACTTTGTTCTTATATTACAATGGACTGATAATGAACACATTAATTTTCTCAAAACTAGATCTGATGAAAACTATAGTGACTCACTGAGCAAACCAACTGGCAGAACCAAGTTCCTTGAACATTCAGATATCTTCATGGGACACTTGAAACTGGACTACACATACCCTCACTCGTTAACCACCCAGCACCCTCCATTGATTGAGGATACAGCAACTTTACTGACACAACAACACGCAAAAATTAACAGTATATTTTGCTCCACTTGTCATAATCTAGATCCTCTTCAAAATTCACTACATCAGAGTAAATTTGAATCGAGTGAGTCACTAGATTCTGCAAGTGCGGCGTGGTGTGAGGCAGTACCACATAGTAAATCACAAGTAGATAGTGAGTGACAGCACTAACAGGCTCAACCACTCACTCAACTCACTCTTTATTGTAATCCCCATATTATGGTATGACACTAAAGAGTATGATACGTACATTTTACACAACAAGACATGCTGTCCAAAATAAGTATGTAGATGATGCAGTAGAATGGGCCATTCCCGTAAACATAGAATCTATGCAATTTGTGTACGGGATTGAGTAGTATGTATTGTAGTTGCATTTTAGTAGTAGCTAGTACTACTAGTACCACTAGCTAGCACTGCTGCTGGGTGCTGGCTTTGAGTGCCAAACTGGAAATTTGTTGGCACTGGGGTAGTAGTACTAGTAGTAGTTGTCTGGTATGTACAAAAATTATTCATTGCAATTCCAGTCATAATTTCATATGATTTATATTATTGTGTGGCCACTAGATGTTCTTTTTCAACTGCAAAGCAAAATTATTTGTGGACAACGCTGGATAAAAATGTTGTCACGTAGAAATATACCAGCTCAAGTCTTTTTGCTCATTGAGAAGACATAGACGTATCTGGATCTAAAATTATGAAAGCATTACCTTGTAGCAGAATAATTGGCATCAAATTTTTACAAAAAGTGAACGGGATTTGACTCCCTCAGCGACTAGTCCTTGCAATAAAACTATTTCGCTTCTTCGTGTAGTAAATATGCTATAAAGTCTGGGTGCAAAACAGTGCTGAAGGTACAGTATTTCATCCTCCGTGAAATTTTACTATGCCTTCCCGTATGTAAGTGTTAGGGCGTCTGCGGTGGTCAATTTGAAGCCGTTCAATCGTTCCAATGCTAGTGTTGCATGAGGTTCTGTATCAAATTCAATAAATGCCAAACCTGGACGAGGGATCCGGACTTCCTTGAAGCCAGAATACTGATACAAGTCACGCGTTAACGAATAATGAATTACAGCATTTTTGTGAGCATTAGAGTCATAGGCGAAGCAATCATACGTATATACCACACCCACGTACTTCAAAAATCAAACGTTCAACTAAACGGTCCAACCATTGGAACCCCAGATCGTCTCATAACTCAATCTTACCTGTCGAAATAACATAGCCAGCATCATCTCATTGCATTCCGAGGGCAAGTTTTCAGCAAAGAGGATATGAGTCGGCTGTTGTTGTGTTGCACTAGTAGTAGCTACTTTTGCTGTAGGAGCACCGGACGAAGGTGGTGGTGGTGCCCCAGCAGAATCTAGATTGGCCTGCTCTGTGTTCTTCCCTGCCGCTTCCGTCAATTCTTCCCCACCGTCAGCAGCGGAATTCACTTCCCTCTTTCTCCTCTTCGCTCGGGGAACGTAAGTTCCATCTCTTTTTGCGATTCGATCGGATTTTTCTTTTGCAAAAGCCAGCTTGAGGTCTTTCCCAAAAAAGGTGAATCCCTGTTCCGTTTGTAGCGCAGCCGTCGCCGCTTGAACGTCATCGAAAACTACAAACGCCTGTCCCCGGAGGCCGTCCTTTCTCAGCGCAATAATGTCCAAGACCTATTTGATACGGAATCGTGCAGATGTTGTGGCGGCATTGTGAAATCCCGGCAAGACGAATAGTAAGAATGAGCAGTAACTTGGCAGTTGAGACCATGCATTCTATTTGAAATAATCGTTGTCGTTAACTATGTGAAAGATCTTAAATAATATCTCTATTGAGAAGGAAACGAGCGACTTACCTTCCCATGCCGTGTCATCAACGAGTATAGTGCTCGACGCAACAAAGGTTTTTTAACCTTCCAATCAATATTTGAGACGTAAAGAGTGTTGTTGGGTTGGGCGATACTGGACGTCATGATTCAATGTCAGTTTCTTACGGCGTGCAGAATGCCTTGTCGAGTTCAATATGAATACCTAGGAATCCCTATTATTCCATAGCCTTCACACGAGTAGTGCTCGCTGTTTTTCGTTCCAATTATTTCTGATCCACTAAAGTATCGGGCTCTTTGTCCTGAGATCGCTCTATTGTTAGCATTCAGTCATGTCGAGATGGAATGTTGTTGCCAGTTGTTGCCAATATTAAACAGTACGAAATACACACAAATCAGGTTCCCGTAGTACTGCAGGAGTTCAGTAGGGTATTTACTGTACGGTACGTTTAGTACTGTACAATACCAGTACTGACTGTTCGTCCGCTCCGGTGCATCAGTGGCATGTTACGCACCGTCTGGTACATTGTAGGCGCAATGCACGAACAGTATCAGAAGAACTCGGTTTTTCGGTGGTTGACACCCATGTGAATGGGTGATTCCCGTTACTCTAAATCTCTAAAACTCTAAATCTAGGGATCTKGAGTAACGGGAATCAAGACAATCAAAGGACAGACTGAGAGGATGCCGGCTCGATGCCAGTCTTTTATGGAATTTGGAATCTTAACTATTTATCAACGTAAAGACTAGAAAGACTTAAATGCGCGCCAC